AAATAATCATTTTTTTCCCCTTCTAATATCTTTAATGAGGGATGTGGCAAAAAGAGGTGGTAATCACCTCGTCAGGCCAGGTAAGAAGTTCAGGGCAGAATGACCCCTAGCATGAAATGTTAAAAATTCCTAAAGACACAGCCTATATTGATCATTTTGTCACCCTCAGCCCATGCACACTCACAAACAACAAGACTATGCTTAACAACCTATCAATTAATTTAAAATTACTATATACCAGTGCTGGGAATTATGACTGTGATTTTTCATCTGGGATATACAGATTATTCATAAGCAAAACTAAACCTCAGAATCCATCACTCAGCTTTCCAAAGGCAATAAATATTTTTTAAATGTCAACACACTCAGATTAAATATTAAACAAAAAATCATATCTACTTTTTAAATTTCCAGTTAAGCTTTAAAGACATAATAGGAAAGTTTCCTGCACTTATCTTGAGAATGTTTCTACACACAGTTATTACTCATATAAGTGTCATTTCTCAGAAGCCATTTTTACATGAAATATCCAGAAAATTGAGGCAAAACTTTCAGAACATTCCAGCATAGGCTAAAATTCAGGCCTTGGTTTAGTCTACAATTCTATGATACCCATCTGTGACATACAATTTTTTCTCATATAATAAACTACGTAATAATATCAATTGTTTGAAAAAAACACCAATTTTATGTTATAACATAAAAGTAATAGTTGGTGTAATAATGATAGTACCTATAAACAAAGACATCTAATTTACCCTTTATGTACTTTACGACTTTGATCTTTTCATTGTGAAAAATCAACAGAGGATTAATTCTTAAGAACTCTCAGTAAAATAGAATTCTTTGGTTTCCTGAACAGCATGTATAAAAGCAGTAATGGGGTACCATATTGCTAACCACCAGGAAGCAGCTCTTCCTCTTTTAGTTCCTTGTTAGAATTTGGCTTGGCTGGAATGCACCATAATGGTATAATCCTTCTTTTCGTTAGCCCCAGAAAAATGTAAACTTCTTTTTCCCATTTTTTTCTCTGTTGACTATGACAAATTCAATTTGGATAAATCATTGTCTTTACTTTTATTTCCCATTATTATCATCAATTGTGGCAACTAGGAGGTTGCAGATATGCTTGAAGTTGATGGGAAATAGAAGCACCATACTGCTTTATTCAGCCCATTCACTCAGGATTCAGTCATCACGCTACAGAGTACCAGCAGTGTAAAAGGTACAGTACCTTAATGTCTGCTGAACAATTAGGTATCTGCCCTATTCCTTGCATATCAGGGACACTTGGTAAAATTCAACAGGTACAGTTAAAACTGTAGCTGTGTGTTTTTGTTTCTTGTCAGTTCTACAGATTCCACCTTCCCACCCCCATTTAGGTTAGTAATTATAAGCCAAGAAATTGAGCAACTATGAAAAACTGAGAAGTAGATTTGAAGTCCAGGTAACTGGTTTTATATATAGACTCAGTCATTTACTAACTTTAAAACCTGGGACAATTAACTGAATTGTAAAGCTACATTCTTCTTACTGGTAAATGTTTTACAGAGTTGTTGTAAGGATTAAATTAACTAATGTAAGAGCATTTTGTAAAGTGTGAGATATAAGTACAAAGCACTATAGTTATAGCTATGTCAAAGGAAATAGTATATAGATGAATACTTTTTAAAATGTGATATCCAGAGAAACTTTCATAAACCTTCCCAAATCAATACTACTAAACTGCTAAGTATTTGATTAGGCTAGCCACAGATCAAACAATTTGGATCCTATCCATTCTCAAACATACTTGCAGAAAGGATTCCTTTACCCATCTGTATAAAGATTGATGGCAGTGATTGCTTAGATATTGCTTATACCCCTGGAAGGAGGAAAAGACGATGGTTTTTAGGAGGCATTTCCTAGCCTCTTCTCTGTCACTCAAAACACTGTCCTCTGTCTCTTTAGGCCAATGTGTTTAATCACAAAGTGATCAAGGTCTTTTGAAACTTTCAAGGGTAAAGAATGATAAGGCAAAAGATTTTTGTTCTGTTATTAAAACTACACTAAGTTATGTGTGTGTATATATACATTGGCAACCTGCTATCTTTTGTAATATATTCCAGATAAGTTAGTTGAAGTGAATGGTAAAATTATAGTTGTTGCAATTTATGAACCATTAGGAATTTTTTATAATGCCCTGTACATATGATATACTGGTTTAGCATGAATGTTATTAGTGAATAAAATAACAATACTATAGTTCTCATTTTGTGATTCCAGGGTATCATTCATTTTCCAAACCCCAATACTTGTGGCCACTGCTAGGGTGGCTAAAATATTGACTATGTGATAAATAACTATTTAATGGGATCAGTAAATGAGATAATCACTTATTCTTTCTAAAAATATCACTAATTAAAAGGAATGTAAACCATGGGACTATAAATACAATCTGAGAAATAATACTGAACTGGTGATAAAAATAATTTAAACACATTCTATATGCGATTGAATCTATATTGTATTAAAAGAAAAGACAAAAATAAGTACTCTCTCTCCTACTCCAACTCTACTCCTAAAAAGAAATAGTCATAAAATGATTTGGGGGCTTCCCTGGTGGCTCAGTGGTTGGGAGTCCGCCTGCCGATGCAGGGGACACGGGTTCATGCCCTGGTCCGGGAAGATCCCACATGCCGTGGAGCGGCTGGGCCTGTGAGCCATGGCCGCTGAGCCTGCGCGTCCGGAGCCTGTGCTCCGCAACGGGAGAGGCCACAACAGTGAGAGGCGTGCGTACCGCAAAAAAAAAAGAAAAAAAAATATATAGCTTAGTGGATTAAAATATGTTAAGTAAATGGCCTTGTATTGTCACTGCTTATTTAACTGATACCAAGAACAGAATGATTAAAGTCTTTCTAATATTTCAGGGGTAAAGAATAGTCACTGAAAATTGAGTCAAAGGATTTTTATTCTGTTGTTAAAACTACACTACAGAAGAATTCAGTGTTCAGTATCAGATTCTTGTCACAAAAAAATCAGAACTAATTCAGGAAACAGGATAAGGCTAGTATTTTGTAAATGGCAGAAAGCCAAATTTTCTGTAACCCAATGAAGGCACTGAGGTATATAGATAGTACAGTGAGATATAATTCAGTTTGGCAAATCTCAATCATGGTTCTACTTTTGAGTTCCATGTATTAATGTTTCCATCTCAGAACTACACTTTCTGATTCAAAATGCCTTTAAAGAACAAAGCTTTTGCTTCTAGTTTAAGAAAGTCAATCTCACGTGATGGTCAATGATTCTTGCCAACTCTTTGTCTGCCTTGGTAAAAAAATCTGGATATGCAAACAAGGGGATTTCTGGCATAGAAGAATGTTCTCTTCAAAAGAGCACAAGAACAGATCCAATATTGGTATAGATAGTCTTCCTCCCTGGAATATATAGATTTACAAATCCTCATTATTAAGATTTTTGATTCTATATTGTTAACATAGAAAACTACTCTGTGTAGACTACTACATATTAGCTTTTAGTTTCTGTAAGCCATTTGGGTTCTTAAAACTGACATTTCTGAGGGTAGGGCATGACATACAGAATGAGAACTAGAAAATAATAAAAAGGCAATCTTCTCCTAGGAGATGTAAATACTACAGCTGGTCAGTAGCAAATGAGAGGCTAGAGTATGAAAGGCTTAAGGGAGCCTGAAGTAGACTATGCCCAACAGGGAGATGAAAGTGCCCATCACTGTACACAGTCCCATGACCCTGGAAGTTCTGGTGGAATTCTAAGCCTAAGAATTTGATCTAAGATATATTAAAAAAGAAAAATAATGATGTGACTTCAATACTTCTCTCAAATAAGGGTGGAACTGTGGCAGAAAATTTAGCAACAGCTCAATGGAAGTGTTGGCAGTACAAAGCTGGGTCCTAAACTAGTGGAGATTTAGTATTAAACCATCCACATAATTATATTATTAAATTTATTATGAAGAAATTATTGTGAGCTCAGAAATATGTGATGCAACAAAATGGTGATAGAGAATATGGTTTTGAAGGAGAGAAAGTGGGTTTAAAAGAAAAGCTCTTAGGAAAGAGTCTTAAGGAGAGACAGAGCTGGTGAAAATTTCCATATTCAAAAAGTCTGATCAGTTTTTAAGACTATAGTGTCTAATATGCACTTTTTTCAAGTTGTTGTCTATACCCTTTTTGACATGCTTCTCTCATATCACTAGGTTGCTTTATGCTGCACTAAACACACCTCAAATCCTTCCATTTATCGTCATCTCCATCATCATTTTCCTAATCTACACCATCATCTCTTACCTGGATTAAGGCCTCCCTTTTTATAATCCCTGCATCCACCATGTCTTACCCTTTTTATTCTTGTCTCTATACAGTAGCCAGAATTTTTTTTTTCAAAATACAATGTGGATCATGTCAATCCCTGACTTCAAACTCTTCAGTAATTCCGCATTAACTTTAGGAGTAAGATTATATTCCTTGCTGAGGAAGCCTGAAGTAGACTGTGCATTTGTTTAAGTGGCTTGCGTGGCTTCTCCAGACTTACTTTTCTCCCTTCTGGGCCCAGGTCTATGTGTTCCTAACACATGGGCTTTCTTGCAGTTACTGTGATGTGCCTTGCTCCACCTGACTATTGTTTGTTTGCACATGCTGTCACCACCCCTTTCTCCAATGTCCTTCTCCTCCTCCTCTCTCTCTGCTGCAGGGCTGGTTAATGCTTACTTTTTCTTCAGCTTCTCAGTTCAAGCCCACTACCATAGCTCTCAATCCGCCATGGGCATTTCCTTCATCATACTTATCTCAATCATAACTTTACATTTATCTGTGAGCCTGTATGAAATTTTTTTTTCCTGACTAGAAATATGAGCTACATGATTGACTCCACAGTGACCTACACGGTGCCACTAGACACTGAATGAATGTGTGTATATTTGGTAAATTACTGAATGAATAAATGAAAGTTGTGATGTTTTAATCCCCTTTATATTCCAGGCCATCAAGAAGAGTCTACCACACAACACTCTTATGTCAGCAGAGCAGTGTCCAGTAGAGCAAGAAGACGACAATCTCAAGAGGTAGGTCGTTAGAGTGGAGCTAATAGCAGGGATTCAAAGGGAAATAACTCAAGTGACAGGTGACCAGGGAAAATATATGGAGCCCTCTCCTAACCCATAAGATTCACAAGTATTGTGGGGCGGAAGAGCAGTAAGCTTCCCACTGCATGTAGAATAGGGGCCCTAGCCATTCTATTGAAATATTAAAATGATTCTAGAATGCTGGGGAGTTAGGGGGCATCTGCGGCTGAGACTTGGGTTAACTATATTCATTCAACAAAATTTGGGCACTTCTGATATTCAAAGAATTGTGCTAAATGCTGTGAAAAGATAAATGAGACAGAACTTTTAAATTAGTTAAAGGTTAAAGGTGTTCAAGCAAGTTGCCTCAAATTCCTTCTTGAATTATAAAAGTTTAAGATAAAGACATGCATAACAATATACATAATGTTAGAAAGCCTTTAAAATGGGAAGATTAGATGGATATGCTTGTGCACCTGATTTCTAGCTATCTCAGTTGAATAGTTTGTACTGGAAAAGAAAAATGTATAAATAACTATAATACAACATGAGACATAAGAGAGATAAGTATTCAATGATATAAACAGAAAAATGTAGTAAAATGGTTAAGAAACAGGTTCTGGACTCAGATCTCTAAGCAAATTTTCATCCTGCCACTTAGTATTATTTATCACTCTGTTCCTTGCTGTCTCCATTTTTAATACAAAAAAATAATAGTACCTTCCTTGTTATGTATTTATAAAAATTAAAAAGGGATAAGACATAAATACCTTTGATGGAGCAAATACTAAACAAGTTTCACCTATACTATCCTTGTCATTATCATTATCAAAAAAATTCAGAGGGATACGCTATGACTTTTAGGTGGTACTAAAAGAGAAGAGAATAAGAGAAAAAGTAATGGAAGACAAAACAATTAAGATGAGGCTTAAATGAGATGTACAATTCTTATGTTTGGAATTAAATGGGAAGTAGAGAAAAATCTTCCCAGAAACATGGTATATTATAATCCTCGGTGTGCCATAACAAATTACCACAAATTGGTAGTCTTAAAAACCAGAAATCCATTTTCTCACAGTTCTAGAGGCCAGAAGTCCTAAATCAAGGTGTTGGCAGGGTTGGTTCCTCTGAAGGCTCTGGGGAGAATGCGTTCCAGGCTTCTCTTAGCTTCTAGTAGCTGTTGGAAATCCTTAGCATTCTTTGGCTTGTAGATACATCACTCCCATCTTTGTCTCTGTCTTCAAATGGCCTTCTCCTTCCATGTCTCTATGTCTGCTTCTTTTCTGTCTCTTACAAGGACACAAGGACACTGTGGATTTAAGGCCCATGTGACCAAGACAGCCTTAACTTTCCCTAAAGCTAAAGCTTGACTAAAGCTTAGACAGGCTTCTTCCTGACTCTAGGCACCTGATCTCCCTTGTCTTAGAGCTTTTACTGTAGAAAACTTGCAATTGTAAATTATTTCTCCTCCCCCAGCCTTTTGCCAGTTCTATTATCCAGGAACACTTTTCTCAAGGACCTGGGAGCCATCGCTTTAAAATAAAATCATCAAGAAAGATAGTGCTCCTATCTTCCAGTCTCAGTAGGAATCTCACTTAGGTGGCAATTAGCAAACACAATGACCTAATCACATTGACCAACCTCTCCTCTAACATCTTCCACTAGCTCACCTCAGCATCAAAAAACCTCCTGTCTTTTGTTTCAGGGGAGTTAAGTTCAATCTCTCTCCCCTATTGCAAGACTTGAGTAAAGTTTTCTTCACCTGTTTAATTTGTCTGGTGCAATTTCTCTTTGATACACCCTAATTTCAAGATGATCTCATCTTGAAATCCTTATCTTAGCTACCCAGATAAGGTCACATTTTATTCATTCATTTGCTCAAACATTTATTGCAGGAGGAATGTTATTATAAGGACTGAGAAGAGAAAAAAATTTAACTTAGATACTGCAGTCCAGAAATTCAAAGTTCACATGGGAGGGAGACATGTAAAGAGACATTTATAGTACACTGGAAAAATTGCTGTAAAACAGGGTTCTCTGGTGGACAAACATGGCAGATGACATAATTTAACTTAGTCTGAGAGTAAGAGAAAATTTCCTGAATGAGTTATGCATAGTTTTGTCCCAATAGGATGATTACAGACTGAAGAAAAGGCATTTAGGACATGTTCATTTTTTTTTAATATATCAAGGATAAGAAATATACAGAGATACTTACAAAAAGAAAAAACAACACACACAAAAAAACCAAAACAAGGGATAATACTGTTCCTTATAGAGTTATGGTTTTTCAAGTCCCCAAGCTCTTCTGAGGACGTAAAATATGGAGTGAACATGCTTTAGAAGGTATTCCCCAGGAACACATGAATAACCATGTCTCAGACCTCTTTAATCCTGCATCTCCCACTCTGACCTAATCAATTCAGCAGGTTCTGGACTCTGATCTCTAAGCAAATTTTCATCCTGCCACTTAGTATTATTTATCACTCTGTTCCTCTGTTTGCTTTTATCTCAGGCAGACTATAATAATCTTTGTAATTACCCAATGAGGGGAAGATACTGTATTATTTAAACAAACCACAGAATTATATCCTTGTTCAGCAATTGAATGACTTGATCCCTTATCCCACTTTTTTATGAGAGAAATTGAACACGCACAGACTCATTGGTTGGCATTTTCTCTAGTATACTTCATTTTCATTTTTGAGGTCCAGCATGCATGTATGATTCTCAAAAATGTCATGGATATATGACTTTTCACTGATTCTAAACTTAACTTATTCCAAATAATTGTAATTGAGTATAATGTTAGCTGTGGGCTTATCATTTATGTCCTTTGTTATCTTGAAGTATACCCCTTCTATACCCAATTTGTTGAGTTTTTATCATGAAAATGTGAAAATTTGAATTTTGTCAAATGCTTTTTCTGCATCTAGTGAGATAATCATATGGTTTCTATCTTTCATTCTATCAATGTGGTATATCACATTTATTGATTTAAATATGTTGAATCATCCTTGCATTCAAGAGGTAAATCCCACATGATCATGGTGTATGATCCTTCTAAGTGTCTGTTTTTTTAAACTATTTATTTTTAAATAAAAAAATTTATTGCAGTATATTTCATGTACATTATATAAGTAACAGGTGTACAATACAGTGATTTACAACTTTAAAGGTTATACTCCATTTATAGTTATTGTAAATATTGGCTCTATTTCCTCTTTTGGAATCCTTGTAGCTTACTTTATACATAATAGTTTATACCTCTTTGTTCACTACCCCTATCTTGCCCCTTCCTCTTCTCTCTTCCTACTGGTAACCACTAGTTCATTATATCTGTGAGTCTCTTTCTGCTTTGTTATATTCACTAGTTTGTTGTATTTTTTAGATTTCACATATAAGTGATATCATAAAGTTTTTCTGTCTGACTTATTTCACTTAGCATAAGATCCTTCAAGTCAATCCATGTAGCAAATGGCAAATTTTCATTCTTTTTCATGACTGAGTAGTAGTCCATTGTACATATATATACCACATCTTCTTTATCTATTCATCTGCTGATGAACACTTAGGTTGCTTCCACATCTTGGCAATTGTAAATAATGCTGCAGTGAACATTGGGATGCATGTTTGTTTGTTTTTTAAATTAGTGCTTCAAGTTTTTGTTTGTTTGTTGTTTTCTGTTTTCTTGGATATACACCCAGGAGTGGAATTGCTAGGTCATATGGTAGTTCTGTTTTTAGTTTTTTGAGAAACCTCCATACTGTTTTCCACAGTGGCTGCACCAGTTTACATTCCCAATAGCAGTGTACAAGAGGTCCCTTTTCTCTACATCCTTGCCAATGTTTGTTATATGGGTTCTTTTTGAAGAAAGCCATTCTGACAAGTGTGAGGTGATAGCTCATTGTGATCTTGATTTGCATTTTCCATATGATTAATGATGTAGAGTAGCTTTTCATGTGCCTGTTGGCTATCTGCATGTCCTTTTTGGAAAAATGTCTATTCAGATCTCCTTTCCATTTTAAAAATCAAGTTGTTTGTTTTCTTGGTGTTGAGTTGTATGAGGTGTTTATATCTTTTGGAGGTTAATCCCTTATTGGTCATACCATTTACAGATATTTTCTCCCATCCAGTAGGATGTCTTTCTGTTTTGTTCATGGTTGCCATTTTTTGTGCAAAAGCTCAAGTTTAAATAGGTCACATTTGTTTATTTCCTGTGCTTTAAGAGAAAATCCCCCCAAAAATGTCAGCCTATGTATTGCTCTAGGAGTTTTATGGGTTGTGGTCTTACATTTAGGTCTTTACATTTATTTACATTTAGGTCTTTAATCCATTTTGAGTTTATTTATGTATATGGTGTTAGAGAATGTTCTAATTTCATTCTTTTACATGTAGCTGTCCATTTGTCCCAGCACCACTTTTTAAAGAGACTGTTTTTTCTCCATTGTATATCCATGCCTCTTTGTCATAGATTAATTTACCATAAGTGTGTGACCATTTCTGGGCTCTCTATTCTGTTCCATTAATGTATGTGTCTGCTTTCGTGCCAGTACCATACTGATTTGTTTACTGAAGCTTTGGAGTATAGACTGAAGTCAGAGAGCATGATTCTTCCAGCTCTGTTCTTCTTTTCTCAAGATAGTTTCACCTATTCAGGGTCTTTTGTGTTTCTGTATACATTTGAAAATTATTTGTTCTAGTTCTATGAAAAATGCCCTTGGTATTTTGATAGGGATTGAACTGAATCTGTACACTGCCTTGGGTAGTTTGGCCCTTGTAACAATATTAATTCTTACAATCAAAGAACACGGTTTATCTTTCCATCTCTTTGTGTTGTCTTCAATTTCTTTCAGCAGTGTCTTACAGTTTTCTGAGTACAGGTCTTTTACCTCCTTAGGTAAATTTATGCCTAGGTATTTTATTTTATGATTTTTGATGTGATGGTAAATGGGTTGTTTCATTAATTTCTCTTTCTGGTAGTCTGTTAGTGTATATTA